TATACCTTTACCTTGCCTCTTCTTTCTTTTCTCAAATGCTATCTTCCTTGATACCTTTTCCTTTATTTCCCCTTCCATTTCTTACTCTTGCCATTTCTTATTCACATGCTCTGGATGAGCTCGCCTTTCCTGTCCACAGAACACAAGGTAATATGTTTTACACAGAGCAATGGGTGATAGGCTACTTCCAGCCGACTCCTTGTCTGGCTGTGTTTGCTGCTGGCTGGTGGGTGGCTCTGTTGTATGAATAAGGGAGACCTGGGTAGCTTTCAGTTGCAAGTAATAGCTTTCTATATAGTCCTGGGTAGCCCTAAAGCTTATTCCCACTCTTCACTGGCAATGTCCTCCCTTTTTCTGTGGTGAAGCCTGGTCAGTGCTGTGTGGTAAACAGTCTCTGTCTCGCTTCTATTTCTCTTTTTTTAATCTATTTAACATTTAAGAATTATAGCAGGAAAGCCTATACTATAAAGAGGAGAGTCCACCGCAAGCACTTCATAAAAGCACATGATGCATCATGTGTGGGTTTTGTTATGTGCAGGCTGTGTGTGCACTGAACCACTTCACTGTAGTTAACAGCCCTTTTCAGCTCCACAGTGTTAATGCTGGAACAAGCACGGTCTCATCCTTGCTTTCATTCCCTCTTCCTTCCTCCTGCCTTTCATCTCTCTATCCCTCTTTGCCCAACAAGCTGATTAACTGCACCTTTTTGTGGGAGCACAAGGACCTGCTCATTCACGTAGAACAGAGCTTATTAATAATAATTTGCATTCGTATGGCACCTTTCAAAATAACAAAGTGCTTTACATAAAATAAAATGCATGAATCCACAGTATAACAAAGAAAAAGTCAACAATAAGAAAATAATAATACAATATCAATAAAATAGGACTAAAAATCTATACAGTAAAATCACTAAGTTTGATCTACAGTGCAAAGAGTACTCAAGTGTTGAGTTGAAATGTATACACAGTGTTGTCTGAATCCACGAATTTATATGATGTGCAATCAAGCGTGCACTCAGCACTCACATGTCAGTCACAATCTAAGAGCGCAGGTACATTCGCATTCCCAAAGGTATTTTGTACATTGCATATTCAATGCTCATAATATCACAGACTATATTATAATGCAAAGCAGTTGCAAGTCATCCTCTTTCATAATCTGCACCTTCTTTAGCCTCCAGGCACTAAAAACACTGTTATTGCCTCAATGTGCACTGCGTGTGTGTGTGTGTGTGTGTGTGTGTGTGTGTGATGGAATGAAACTGTCTCTGGCTCTCACTGTGTCTAAACCCATATGGTGGGTTCTGAATCTGATGGCAATTTCTTCTTTTGTGGGAGGTTTGCCATATTCCAACACACTGATCTACTAGCTGTCATTCCCTTTCAAGCATATACATACAGCAGCAGGCCTAGCAAAGCATCAGGGGACATTTATGGCTGCTCAAGATTCAAGTTCCCCATTCATCCCCTCAGGCTTGGTATTTGAGCAGGGCTGAAATAAGCTTCAGATTTTTGTTGTGCCTCTTTCTGTCTGTTCGTTTCTGTCTCTGTTCACACACAGTGTCTTACTTCCTCCTGCTTATGCACTTCTTTTTGTCAACATCCCCCAACCACCCTCCCTCTTTCTCCTTTTCACCATCTCTGTCTTTGCCATATCTCTCTCCATCTCTCACACTGTCTCCTCTTTTTTCCTCTCTTTCTGTGGATGAATTGAGTAGTTCAGTGACTCATTTGACTTGTATGGTGCACAGGGTGCTCTGTTCTGGCCCACAGAATGTTAGCATACTTTTTGTTTGTTGGAATACTGAGGTGTCCTGTTATCTGTTGTGACTCCCAAGCAACAGAAGAACAACCCAGAGGAAGGTACATGCTATGGAACAGGTGCAAACACAGAACTGTCCCTGTTTGTGCAGAAAATGCAAAGCCCTAAAGCCACACACAGTGTGACAAGTTGCTTACTAATGGTAATATCTTCCTGGAAGGAAAACAGCTTCTGTCACTCAAAGGGTAGCCTCATTTTTTTTACTTAAAGGGACTTATCAAAAGATGTTGATTGGACTAACCCATGTGAAACCAGCACTATTGTGTCCACTGTAACGTGTGCTGCAGGAACAACAGCAGTGTGTGGTGATGGAGTGACAGACAGGCACTCCATCACTCCATGCAGAACTTTCTGCATGAAAGGCTGACATTAGTTTAAAGCTTTGACTGGCACGAAGCACTTTGCTGTGTCTGTCTTTTTGTCTACCTGCCATCTGTAATTGTCTAGCTGTCTGTCTTCCAATTTGTCTGTCACATCCATACTATCTGCAACTGGCTGGATAGGGAACAGTGCAGTTGTCTGACATGTTGAAACCTGGCTGGATCTTTCTGGATGCTTTTACACACACACACACACACGCACACACACACACACTGTGTTTTTATTCCTTGTGGGGACTTTACATTGACTTACATTCATTTCCTGTTGACGTATCCTAACCCTAACCAATATTAAGTGGTTGCAAATGTACTACTTTACATTGAGTTTTGAAAACAATGGGGCTTAAATTTCACAAGCAGTAAACAAAATCTGGCCTCTCATTTCACACAACTGAATTTTGGTGACAGAGATTACTCTTGCTTGCAAGTTTTATTAAGTGTTACTAATAAAATACTAACACTAAAACTGCATTATAAAACCTGTATGTAATCTCTGTAATATAAAACCTCATCTATATTATATATAAACATTGGGGAAATTAATCCTGCATCCTCCAGTGTCTTGCAAACCGTGGATGTGCAGGGTAATGTGTCTTGATGCTGAATTTAGTCTCTATGTGGGTGTGTAATGTCAGGTCTGACTCAGTGGAGCTGATGGTTTGAAAGGACACTCACAGCATGTTGCGTATTTGAACACATACAACAGAGACATACACTCACAGCTTTGTCCTAGAGTTCCTGTAACTGCATGAGTCCTGTCATGCAGATAGAGTGGAAAGGTAACCTTGCATCACAGCGTGAATGAGGGAAGGAAGGACACTGGCAATACAGAGGTCAAAGCCTTAAACTGAACCTCTGCTGTGCTCCTGGAAGAGGGAAAGGAGAGTATTTGTAAATAGGGCCTGCTAAGAAAAAGAAAAGGAGAAGGCTATTTATCTGTTGCTCATTTAATTAATTGGAGACAATAGCTAATGCATAAATGTCAAATTTAAGAGGAGGTAAAAGAAAGGACCAGGAAAAAGGAGAAGGAGCAATCAATAGCAGAGTAAGTGTGCTGGAGAGATGATGAGTGGAGAAAATAAAAGGCTGAAACATAATAGCATGGTCACAGTAAACAGAGAGCACACATGAGTAACTGCTATTGAGAAGCTAGAGAGAGAGAAAGAAGATAGATGGTATGAATCGGTTATCAAACTCTCTGACAAGGGGAGAAAGTGTAGGCACAGGCACCAAAGCCAAGTGTGACTCAATATTTCACTTCAAGTGAAGTAGTGAAGTCTCTTGCTTTGCTATATAACCTTTAATAAGCCCAAGCAGCAGTCCAGGTAGACATACATGGATTGAATGTGAAAGTGTATTTAAATGTAGATGTGTTTAAGTGTAGATGGCACAGATTAGCACAATTTATTGTAATTTGTTTATATGGTGGCATATGGAAGTTGCAATACAATGCCCTTGTGAATTTGATTTCAGCAAAGAGCCCCAGTTCTGTTGTCAAATAGTCATGTTTATTCCCCTTTGCCACCCTCCATAAAGCTACACACTAGAAAGTCTTCATCTTTAATAATGTACAGATTTAGTATTGTAAAATAAACAAAATAGCCTAAATATAGACTTAAAATCACCCAAAGGAGACTGTACTTAGGGCATTTAATGAATTTGAGGAACCCACTAGTTTCTCTAAACTCCTTCATGCGTGTCTTTGTGAAAATTATCTTTGATAATTTTGTGGCAGTTATTAGAGCTCCTGTCAAAGACTTGAAAGAGGGCAGGAAAAGACACTATTAAATAAAAAAAAAAAACTGTCATAGAAAGTCTAAAGTCCAAAACAGTCTGGGAAACATTGCTCCTTTGCAGAGTAAAGACTGCTCTGCAGACTGCGTTTATTTAGTTGCATACAATGCAGTCAACCTAAAAGGACTAGTTGACTGTGGTGTTGTGTGATATTAACCTGTCACAGATACTGTGAACCTACACCAACAACCACAGACCCTTAAATCACTCAACTGTAGCACACAGACATATTTGTTTTACGGTCAGTGTTTTAGTCCTTGGCTGCCCATTTGAGATCAACTCATCAGTGCGGCTATAACTGACACTGGCTATCTGTGTCCAGCATCTCTACTTGATGGCAGTGAGTCCAACTGTCACAATGGCACAGTTTAGTTAAGACCATTTAAACAATTTTATCACCTGGATAACTTCGCCATTGGTTGCTTGGTGTGTGGAACACTATTTGTCTCCATGTCAGTGTAGATTTCAAGCCAAGTGGTTTTGGAGATCCTGAGTTTAAAGTGAGCATCTGTGACAATGAAACACCCTGGGAAAGTTGCCAGCCCAACACAGTCATCCTGGATTTGCCTCTGCGTTTTCCTCAGTACATGCTGGAATATGTTTAACCACTCTGTGCCTGGGAATAAGGACAGATCTTGGTAAAATAATCAACTGAATGACAGTGCTTTTAGGAACAGTACTTGTGAAAATATATCTTTTTTGTTGTTTGGAAAAAATAAACACCATGGTCACATCAAGTGAAGTGTATTTGTATAGCTCTTGAAAAACCTTAATGATGGTCTCAAATTCGGATTATGAAAAAGTAAATGAAAGTGAAGACTGAGCTGGCAACCCTCTGTCCTAAGGCCCTCGCTGAGAAAAAAGAAAAATCCCATGTAAAGGAATTACAACTAGTGACTCATGTGAGCACACACTCTGAATTAGAAGAACATCACAAGGGCAATGTGTTGATTTTCTTTGTGTACTCACACCCCATCCCTCTCTCTCCATCTCTGGCTCCAGGTGCAGCAGGATGCAGGGCGTGCTGCTGGTGTGTGGACTGCTGAGCCTCCTTCTGCTTCACACTGCAGTATGTGGTGAGTCCTCATTAAACTGTAGGCAGCTGGCCTAAAGTGTATGCAGTATATAACTCCTGATAATCCAGCCGAATCCAGCCCTTTCACCGGGTCATCGTTATCGTTAATAGTAAATGACTAGGTCAGTAATGTGAGGTTAGATACACCTTGTTCCTGTAACATAGCAAACCACAGTGCACAGGATGGGATGTATGATATCCTCACTGAAATTAAACTGGGATGAATATCTGCTTGCTGGTTGCACAGGACAGAGTTCCCCCGCAGATGGGGGTGGGAGGTGGGGACTGCCTGAGGGGCAGAGTGATGAAACCCACATCACGGCAAACAAGACACAGTCACTGTGCTTTATCCTCTGTGCTGAACTGTAAAAACATAACCTAAGCTTTTTTCTATAATATTTAGGGCTGCAACAGTTACTTTCATTTTCAATAAATCTGCTGACAATTTTCTCATTTACTCAATTAACTGTTTGGGCTGTAAAAGAACAGAACATATTGGAAAACGAGAATCCTGCATGGTGTCAACAAATTACTTGTTTTTTCTGACCAACAGTCCAAAAACCAAGACATATTTCATTCATTATAAAGAGAGGCAATGAAAAGCAACACATTCTCACATTTACAAGCCTGGAACTGTTGTCTGCTTGAAAAACGACATGCCAGTTTAAGCTCACATTGGCTGAAACTACATAGTCAAATTCTGGGTAACAAATGAGCATTCATGAGTGAGTGACTATCAGAGCTGCAAAATGAATGACCTGCCTCTTGTCAGGAACACACGGTCACAATTTGCAATTCATAGCTCATAGTCTCTTGTGTCATGGGAATAATGAGCCAACTCATTTATATGTCAGACTTATTCGATCTCTTGAGTCACACTGACATTTTCTGTCAGTCTGTCCATTTCAAACAGCTTCTCCCTCTAACAGTACTCATATCTCAAAGTCGACCTTGACTGCTTAGTTACTGGCCTCCTTGCTCCTCTCGTTTCATCTGCTCATCATTACCACAACAGCACCTCCAAGAAGAGTGAATAGATGAGATTTAAATAAGAAAAACTCATATTCATCCTCTCAGCCACTAAAAGAGGGAAATGATTTTGACATTTTGTTAAATCTCCAAGATATTGGAGATTGGAGTGTTCTAGGTGGCCTCCCTGACTGTCAGCTCCTCTCTGTTTTCAATTGTTTCTGTCTTCAGTGGAGGTAAAAAAAATATCAACATACCTGGCACCGGAGCCTTTCTGTGACTCTGGGCTCAGAGTCACAGGCATAAATTCAGCCAACTCCTCTGTCTTTCCTTGTGCATATGTGCATGTTTGTTTGGAAACCCTCAGGTTACATCTGCCTGGTAGTTTATGCAGCCAACGCGTAGAGCAGTGAGCATTACAGCCCACACACACAGAGCATTTCACACACTTGTGTGCCTTTCAGAGTGCGTATGTCAGGCAAATCGACGCTTGCTGCCTCTGCTTTGGAGGAGTTTAGTTTTTGAGGGCATTAATGTCCCCTGCTCTTGCTTTCTTTCTCTCCCTTCATGCATTTTGTGCTTTATTTAGGTGAGTGACTCTGGAAATAGTCAATGGGAGGTAGAGACTACAGGGGAGTTTTGGCACTAAAGCTAACCCCATGACATTTGACAGCCCAGAGACTGGAAAGAGAAATGGGATGTGAGCAGGGAGGACAGATTAGGGTGTGAACATTTTGCACGAGTGCGCATGTGTTGATGATTGTGTGCGCATGCCTGCAATTTGTACAAGCACTCCTGTGTGCATTTATGAATTTAAAATGTTGGCCCTGTGCCACAGGAGATACAGTATCATTATGCTTCACATGGTGCAAAATTAGTCACGGCAACAGGCCCGGGGAGATCCTGTGAAGCTTGACATGGCCTGGTATAGGAGTCAACCCAGACAGAGCTGCAGTGAAATGCTTAATATTTGTCACTAAGAAAGGAGGAGGAAACAAGGCAGGAGGAGACAGAATAGGTTTGAGGGGTGATAACAGTGTACACTAAATGATTAGGAAATTGTGAAGTTGGAAGAATGTACCTGTACAGCAAATGAGAAGATGGAGAATAGAGAAGTAACAAGGTGAGGATGTGAAAAGTGATGTGTCAGCATTTCTAATGGTTGTTTTATTGCCACTTATTGTTTAATATTTAGTTGGACTCTGGTCTTAATGTACGGTGGCACAGTGGTTAGCGCCGTTGCCTCACAGCGCAAAGGTTCCAGGTTCGGGCCCCACCTAGGACCTTTCTGTGTGGAGTTTGCATGTTCTCCCCGTGCTTGCGTGGGTTCTCTCCGAGTACTCCAGCTTCCTCCCACGGTCCAAAGACATGCAGCTTAGGTTGATTGAGGACCAGTAACATTAGCTAATATTGCTGCTTGATTCTACAGATGTCATTACGTGCAGTGGGACTGCATTACTAGTAATTAGACTGTTTCTGTTGAAGAATGCTTTTCTTTAGTCCAGTTTTAGTTGTGAAATGCACAGAAGGAGAGATGGGGAAAGAGGGATAATAACAGAACCAGGAGGTATGTTCAATTTAGAGCATGTAATGCTGGAATGACTAGAGGGGAACTAGAGGAGGAGGAGATGAGTAAGAGAGAAGTCAGGAGAAAGGTAACAAGGATGTGGGAAAGAAATATGAGAAAATATACTGTAGGAATATTTGGAGAGGAGAAAGGGGGCACTGTAGAAAACATGGGGGAGAGGAGATTAGGAGCAATACAGGAGGAGGCAGGTGAGCATTGAAAGGAATGTTTTGGAGGAGAACATGTCATGAGAGTGTCAGCATGGAGACAATTTTCAAAACTTGCATGATGTCCACCTGGCAGATCTGCTATGCAACAAGCAACATTAATCTGCACATACACAAACACACATACATACAGGACATTTCAGTAAGGGGTGTGAGTGGTATGATTTGTATGTGTGTCTTTATTTGTATGCCTTTGCATATTTGAGAGTGTTACTTGCTGTAGGGGAAAGGTGCCTGTCCCGTGCTGATCAAAAACATTGGAAAAGCAAAAGGGAACCCCTCCCTCATTTAGTTTACATTACACAGTACACAGCCTAAGATGTATTCTTTGAAGAGGCCACCCCCAAAGCTCACAGTTGCATATATGTGGTTGAATTTTGTGACCCGATATGAAGCTTCTTTCCCCTTTCCCATTTGTATTGCCTTTGCTGCCATGGTTATCATTTTTAGGCTTGGCTGGGGTGGTGTCAGTCTCAGCTCTTCTTTTCCTAAATGATAACATATCAATGCTGAAAAGCAGCCACCACTCTTTTCATGTTATATTTTCCACATTCCTTGTTTTTTCCATTTGTCTTTGTACATCATCTGAGGTCTTATTAAAAGCATGCATTTCTCTACATCCCACTACAAAGCCATAAAGACAGCAAGCAGTTTTGTCACACCATCCATTCATACAAACACCAACCTGCACTGTCCTTGAAATATCTTTTTTTCACATCAGAAAATGAAGTTTCAACTTCTTATCACTCATTTTAAAAGTTTCACTTTATTCTTCTTTGTTTGGTTTTGTATCCCATGTTTCTTTCAGCAGACACTTCATGTCATCTGTAGTTTGTAATGTTTATTTAAAATGATACAGTAAGATGAACTAACTTAGAAGCTGGTATATACAGTAACTGCAGATTCAGTGTAACCTTCGTGGAGAGCAGTAGTGAATCTACGTAAGTACAAGTAATGTGCTTAAATATACTTTAGAAATACTTGTACTTTACCATACTAATTCTATTTTAATCTACTCTACAATACAACTCCACTACATTGTAGAGAGAAATGCTGTACTTGTTACTCTATTCATTTTATTTGACAGTTGTATTTACTGGGTATTTAGCAGTGTCAGATTTTACAAACAAAATTTATGATTGTCAAATAAAATATGATGCAATTGTTGGATTAGACTGCCCATCAGTAAATAATAGAGTTCAAATTTTGCTCCACCTCTATGGGCTGCAACATTACAATACTTCCTCTGCACAATGAATACTTTAGCTTTGATTATTTATTTGTGGATTAGATATAGTTTTACTTAAGATAAATTGTGAATGCACAACTTTTACTTAGAGTATATGTATACTTTGATATTACTCTTTTTACTTTCTAGGTACTTTTTCTACCACTGCTACAAAAAAGGAGTACAGTATAATAGAGACAATGTACAATTGGGACACTTCCTGTTAATTATAATCTAGAGACTCTTTTATTAGCAGGCACACTGCAAAATTAAACGGATGTGAAGAATAAATCTTCCAGTAATCACAGAAACATAAAAAAAGCCAGAGTGGATTATGTCAAAACCTACCTGAGGAAGCCACAGTTGTTGTTCTTCCTGTGGATAGATGAGACAAAAATAGAGCTTTTTGGTTGAGCACATCATTCCACTGTTTTCAGAAAATGAAATGAGGCCTTCAAAGAAGAGAACACAGTCCCTACAGTCAAACATGGTGGAGGTTCACTGATGTTTTGGGATTGCTTTGTTGCTTCAGGCATCAAATGTCTTGACTGTGTATGGCATTTTGAAATGTGAAGACTACCAATGAATTCCAGGGAGCAACATAGGGCCCAGTGTCAGAAAGCTGGGTCTCAGTCAGAGGTCATGGGTCTTACAGCAGGACAATGAACCAAAGCAGACTTCAGAAAGCACCAGAAATGGTTTCAGACAATGTGCTGGAGAGTTTTGAAGTGGCCAGGAGTAAGTCCAGATCTAAATCCCATAGAGCACCTGTGGAGGGATCTCAAAACAGCAGCTGGGAGAAGGAACCCTTCAAATCTGAGAGACCTGGAGCAGCTGGCAACAGAAGAGTGGTCCAAAAATCCAGTAGAGAGGTGTAAGAAACTCACTGATGGTTACAGGATGAGATTGATTTCAGTAATTTTGTCCACAGGGTGTGCTACCAAATTATTAAATTGAGGGTGTCATTAATTCTGTCTGGTCCATGTTTGGAGTTCTGTGTGGAATGGATC